GAGAGGCCACAGAATGTAAGGGGACGGAAAGGAGGCCTCACGTGAATCTTGACCTGTGCAGCCAGGTGGTATGGCCTTGGGCAAGTCTGTTCACGAGGCTGTGCCTCTGCGAGGGGCTGGTGAGATGGTCTATGAGAGCATTGTATCTGATTGCATTTCTGTGACGCAGTCTAACTTCTGCCCACAGACAGGTCTTGCTGAACAGACCGAGGATTCTTTTCTCTCTGGGCCCTCAGACTGGAAGGCAGGCAGGCAGGAAGACAACGGCCCTATTGTGAGGACCTACTATGAGCCAGATGCAGGGCATGTCCAGGGCTTTGACATTTCTAATTCTGTCTCCCAACTGCCCCCTATAAAATGGGTCTCCTCAGCTCCATTTCACAGATGAGGAAATGGAGGCTCAGAAGCCTAAAATCAATGCTTCTGTTGTTGCCTCCCCACACCCCTGCCCTCCCCCAGATGAGACCCTGTCCTGCTCTCTCCAGGACTTTCCGTCCAGCCCCACCCCAGCCACCCGTGGGCTTGCTCCTTGCCCAGGGAGGGACAGCCGTGCTTTCCTGCCCTCCGCCCATATCACTTTCCTAGTGTGTTGTCCACTTCCTGTCTGGCTGTTTGCAGCTTATAACACACCCGTCACCATTCCCCCACCCCACCCATCCCCAGTCAGTCCCAGTTCTCCACCCAAGCCTGGGGGTTGGTGCTGCCGTGTCTGCAGCCCCCACCACAGGCTGTGGGCAGGAAACCTCCACGCTCACCTCCAGCTTGCCGTGTGACCATAAGCAAGTCGCTGCATCTTGCTGGGCCGCCTGGTCTTTCAAAGAGCAGGGCTGGTCCAGATGTTCTCAGCAGGCCTTTTGGAGGCTGATTCTCAGAGACAGTTCTGACATATTCTTGCAGAGACCAGCCAAGGGACCTTTCTGTATGTGTGTTTCATCTTAAAATGTAAAAGGACATCGGCTCCCCTGCCTCCTGAGGTATGGCCAGGTGCTCTTGGAGTGGGAGCGCGCTGTTGGGAGTTTCTCCTCATTTGTCTTGCACACACCATTCCCATAAGGCAGCCATTTATTTTTAAGCAAACATTTATTGCATGCCAGATGGCTGTTCATACATTGTCTCATTTAACCCTCTCAACAGCCATGTGGCTCAGGCATTTATAATCACAATGCTAGTTCATGTTTGCTGAACACTTAGAACGTGCCAAGCCCTGAGCTGGCTGCTCTATGTGGGTTATCTCCTCTCGTATCATCACAACCACACTCGAAAGAAGAATTCTCTCCCCTACTTTACAGATGAGGAAATAGAGGTGCAGGCAGGTTGATCTCACAAACCCAATGAGCAGTGAGTGGACTGGGGATTTCAGACAACAGCAGGTGAACCTCAGAACTTCTGCTCTTAACTGTGAAGTTCTGTCTCCTGCCGTTTATTGTCCCTATTTTCCCAGTAGGGAAACTGAGGCCCCCGAACTGAAATGCATTTGCTCAGGGTCACCAGCTGAGATGCAGCAGAGGCCACGAGCCCAGCTGCTGAGAAGGGGCCCAGCCCAGCTCATGATAGGGGTGGACAGATCTGTTGAGTCCTAGGGGTGCCAGCTGGAGGGGGTGTGAAGCCCAGTCACCAGAGCCGGTTCTTCTTAACCAAGTGCCTCCTACTCCCCCTGCCTCCGGGGGTCTCTGGCGCCATCTTCAGCTACATCGTGCAGGACCTGATGGAGACAGACCTGTACAAGTTGCTCAAAAGCCAGCAGCTGAGCAATGACCACGTCTGCTACTTCCTCTACCAGATCCTGCGGGGCCTCAAGTATATCCACTCAGCCAACGTGCTCCACCGGGATTTAAAGCCCTCCAACCTGCTCATCAACACCACCTGTGACCTTAAGGTCAGCGCACTGGGTGCCCATTCCTCCCCCCACCCCCACTCCCCCAGGTCCTGGGGCTTCCGGGTGCCCAGCAGTCTCCTGGAGTAGGAGGGCATCACAAGCAAAGGAAACAGCAGGGGCTGCAGAGGCCTTGAGCCCCAAGCTTAGCCTTCTGCTTTGGATTCTAGATCTGCGATTTTGGCCTGGCCCGGATCGCCGATCCTGAGCACGACCATACTGGATTCCTGACAGAATATGTGGCTACACGCTGGTACCGGGCCCCCGAGATCATGCTGAACTCCAAGGTAGGGGGCCACCCATCCCCAAAGGTCAGGGGCCAGGTCCCTGGAGGCCCCAGAGCCACCTCGGAGCCAGGCATTGACCACCATGGTGCAAGAAGTCTACCCTGCAGCCGTGTCACATGACTCTGGCCTTTAGGATCTGGACAGAAGCTAAGCATTAGCTCCCCGAGGCCCCTGCTCTCTGCACAGAATCTAGGTTGGGGTGACGGCAGCTGGGCCCTGTTGAGGCTGGCCCAGGAACCCACCGCTTTCTCCTGCTCCCCAGGGCTACACCAAGTCCATCGATATCTGGTCTGTGGGCTGCATCCTGGCGGAGATGCTCTCCAACCGGCCCATCTTCCCTGGAAAGCACTACCTGGACCAGCTCAACCATATTCTGGGTGAGGGGGCTGACTAGCTGTGTGGAAGGGAGGTTAGCTTATTGGAGGTGAGATTTCTTGAGGTTCGGGGTCGGTGAGTCTGCAGGAGTCAGATCAGGGGTACCAGCCTGTGTGGAGTCCCTTCAGCATCTCACAGTATTTCAATGAGGTAGAGATTACTGTCCCCATTTGATAGATAGGAAAAAGCAAGGCTATGCCCCACACTTAGAAGATGCTGGAGCTGGGACTGAACCTAGGGCTGCCAGAGACCAGACTCCTTGCTTCACCACAATTGTACTGGCTGGGAGATACCTGTCAGGGCCTGGAGCTGGGCTGGGAGGGTTTGGCTCTTGGCTCCTTCTGTTCCTGGAAGGGAGAGATCTCTCACCCAGGCACCTGCCCCGTGCACAGGTATCCTGGGCTCCCCCTCTCAGGAGGACCTGAATTGTATCATCAACATGAAGGCACGAAACTATCTACAGTCTCTGCCCTCCAAGACCAAGGTGGCTTGGGCCAAGCTGTTCCCCAAGTCAGACTCCAAAGGTGAGAGAGACATGGGGGGCTGGTATGGGATAAAAATTGGGTGCAGAGAGGGGTATGTGAGCCCAACTGCAGCCTGAGTAGATAGGCCCCCCCCCTGGGCCCAGAGAAGCAAAGCGATGCTGGGAACCCCCCAACCTTCCCTGACCCCTCACCCCTGCTTGTCCCTAGCCCTTGACCTGCTGGACCGGATGTTGACCTTTAACCCCAATAAGCGGATCACAGTGGAAGAAGCCCTGGCTCACCCCTACCTGGAACAGTACTATGACCCAACAGATGAGGTAGGCCTGTCACCAGCAGCCAGGCTGGCAGGTGTAGGGGGAGGGAGGTGGCGGGGGCATCCCTCAGTGCCTGGCCTGAGCCCGACTTCTTTGCCACCCCAGCCAGTGGCCGAGGAACCTTTCACTTTTGACATGGAGCTGGATGACCTACCCAAAGAGCGGCTGAAGGAGCTCATATTCCAGGAGACAGCCCGCTTCCAGCCTGGGGTGCTGGAGGCCCCCTAACCTGGACAGATCCCTCGGCTCCCTGGGGCCCGGTAAGTGCTCCCCACCACCCACGCACAGATTCACCCTGATACCAGGGTACCCAAAACACCATACAGTTGAAAGCTTGCTCATACCCTTGACCCATGTGGATGGTGGTGACAGAAGGGCCAGCGCCTGCCCAGGCCACAGACCCATGGTCCACCAGCCTCTGTGTCCCGCCTTTCTTCCCTCAGCCCCAGATGTCTCCCACCTGTCAACACCCAGCCTCCTCCAGCCCCAGTAGCCCTTCCAGGACCTCAGCCGTCACCGAGGTCCCCTCTCACCCACCTGAGGAATGGAGCCAGGCTTGGCCTCTCCCACTATGGGCAGATAGGCAGATGGGGCAGTAATTGCTTTGGGAGGAGCCAGCAGCACCCAGCCTGATTGAGATGCCAAGCTTTCTCACACCCGGTGCCAGCCAGGACAGCAGCTCACACACCTTTGGGGGGCCCTGAGGGGCCCGGCTTGCCCCACACTGCCCTTCTTCCTGCCGCCAGCCTCCTTTCTGCCAGCTGCAGAATGATAGAGGGAAGGCAGGCACAGCTGGGTCAAACCCCAGCTCTGACATGTAGTACAAGCTGTGTGACATTGCGTAAGACTCCATACCTCAAGCCTCAGTGTCCTGGGGACAGCCCTGACCATGAAAGCAAACACTTTCAGAGCATGAAGCATTGTGCTAAGAGGCTCATGAGTACGAACTCGTCTAATTCTGATAGCAGTACTGTGAGATACGTACGGACTAATATATCCCTATTTACAGAGCAGGAAACTGAGATCCATCCCACTCATCTGTGAGGATGAAATGAGAGACGTGGAGGGCAGGGCTCTGGTGGGTGCTCCCATGGGTGCTAATGGTTCCTTTCCTGCCGCCCTTTCTGTTTAGGCCCTGCCTCCTGCCTGCCCCTTCCCTGCTGGACTGTTAGAAAATGGACACTGTGCCCAGCCCAGACTCTGGCTGCCCAGTCGGGGCAGAGGGCGGGCCTGACCACCTTCCCTCGCTTTGCTCGGGCCTCCCGCGTTCCGTAGGCCCAGGCTCCCTCCATTCTGCCCCCACTCCCAGGACCTGAGGAGCTCAGGTGGCCCCAAAGCCGATTCCCCTCAGCTGCTCTGCTTCCCTGGACCCCAGCTTTCCCAGTCTCTGGTAGTTCTGGAATCAAAGGGCTCTGGCTGTCCCATGGCCTACCGGGGTGGGGGGGAAGCAAGTCGCTGCATCTTGCTGGGCCGCCTGGTCTTTCAAAGAGCAGGGCTGGTCCAGATGTTCTCAGCAGGCCTTTTGGAGGCTGATTCTCAG